TAACATACTAGTGTTGTTTTTGTGTTTACACATAATGAAGGTCTAACAAATCTCACCCAGTCAAGGAAATAGAAATTTCATAACATCCATTTAATCAAGGCCATCCGTGGGCAAATATTATGTACTGAATATTACTAAGTAAATACAGCGTGGTCCTAATGTCTTAAAACATAAACATTAAATGAACATTTTTCTTTGCATTTTTCTAATTCAAGATTTTTTTTTTTTCAAATTACAAATTAAGTTAGCATCATTATTTGAGTGACAGTCAAATTGAAAAATGAATATGAAACTGAAAATGTCTTATTTAAATCTTATTAAATTTAAAGGGTTTTATTTGGTTTGTCCCTCTTTTTCCATTTTAATGACAGCAACACTCAAACTGCATGACCTCCACAAGTGCATGATTTGAGAATGATACAAAGCATCTTGCACTTCAGTCAGTGGAAGCAAGAACTTCTGATAAGCTCAAAAATGTGCTTACATTTGAATAGTGACCTAGAAATGTCTACTGATCATTTCACACATTTAAAGTCATAATGAAGGGGAAGCAGTAACAGAGATTTTCTTTTGAATTGTGACATACATCCGAGTGAAATGAATTATCAAAAAAGAAAGAAAAAAAAAAATGTAGGTTGGGAACTTTGTTCTATCCATTGGTTGTTAATTTAATTTTGGGAGTTGAACTCAAACTGAGACAGATCAAAATGTGATTTTGCAGTTGATTATATGAAAGTGGTGGGTTATACGTCCGGTGTAAGTCACCAGAAAAGTCTGTTGTTTCACCAGAATATTGAGTTATGATATTATCATTTAAAAGTAGGAGGTTAAAAAAAAGAAACATATGGATGGATGAATAGCTCACAATAATAGTACGCATTCTGATAATAGATGAATTTAGATTTTAAGCAGACGTTCTTAATTTTGCAAACTGATAAAACTGTATTTTGACCAACTAAGATAAATTATTTCAGTTTGAGATACCTGTGCCATATGTTCAGCATTGGCACTGAGCACAGTCTTCAGTCTCTGAGCCTCTTTAAGGAGTTTGGCCATGGCGCGCAGATTCTCCCTCACGTCCTTCTTTGATTTCTTCTGTTCGTTAAAGAGCTTGGCAAGATGATCTCTGAGCCTCAGCTCCATCTCAAAGCCACCGAGTGTTCTATCAAACCTAAATGTTAAAAGAAAAACAGCTATAGTCAGTCAACACAATATTGTATACATATACATGCACTCCCAGGTGGCCAAAAATTAGTGGTGAAAACATGACAACCATGACTAACCCTACTCCACGGATCTGAAGCTGCGGATGAGTGCCAGATTCCTTGGTCTTCACCGTCTGATACGTGACAATCGTGGCTGTTGTGCTGCCTGATCCCATATCATAAAACAAGATATTCTACAAGAGACACAACAATGTTAGTATAAAAAAAAATCAGTCAGAAATCCTACTTTAAATGAATTCCTGCATTACCAAAATGGAAGTGTCAATTTTCTGTTTTTCCAGTGTGCCACTGGTTGGCCAAACAGATAGTCCCACCCACACCCTTGGCTGACACAATGTAGACCAAATAAATAAATTCACTTCAATTCTCTCAGAAGTACCTGTGCAGTAGAGTTGATGTCCTTCCTCCTAAAGACTCCATAGTTCAAAGCCACGGCAGTATTATCATTGATAAGCTGAAGGACCTTTAGACCTGCTATATTGGCAGCCTGCAAGACTGCCCTACGTTCTGCCTGATTAAAATAGGCTGGCACTGTGATCACAGCATCTTTAATGGGCTGCTCTGTGAGGGAGAAATAAAGTTATCGGTGCTTCCAAATTTCCCAATCTGCAAAAATCAAGACAGCTATTCAAAACACTCCTTATAATCAAACCTGCGAAGTCTTGAGCCAGACCACGAGAGTAGTTCAATATCATGCCCAAAAGTTCCTCTGGAGTGTACTGCAACTCTCTGGATGATATAAAAGATTCATTTTTCACATTAATGTAAGTCACATCGACTCCAGCTAATGCACCTGCAAGTGCTCCATTACTTACTCTGAGAATTTGAAAAACACTGTTCCTCTTTTCTCATCTCTCAGCAGCTGGTGTTCAGGGAAGTGTTTCTGATACTGTGCCACCTGTGGATTGTCTGCGGTCTTTCCCAAAATGCTCTGGAGGAATCTGTAAACCACCATGGGGTTCTTCACAGCCTGTCATGATTAAAGTATGCTAGAGTAAAAAAAGCTTGTCAAATACGCTGCAACAAGGTGTAAGAGACAAAGAAAATGTGAAGGGGTGTTTTTCATCCTACGGAATTTCATCAGCATGAAATCAAAACAGGCTATTTTCTTCCTTAATCCATGTACCTGGTTTACACTTTCATTCAAAAGTTTGGGGTAAGTAATTAAATACCTCCATTCAGCAAAGATGCATTAAATTAATCAAAAGTGACCGGAAAGAATCATGAAAAGAAGTACTAATGTTTCCACAAAATATCAAGCAGCACAATTACACATCTGTGTAATACTTAATATAAAAGTACTACATTTCATAGAAAGTATTAACTTTTCCCACTTGACTTCAAAAAGAAGGGATGGTGGTGAAAAAACGTTGTTTATTATCCAAGCATTCAGGTCTGCCTCCATTCTGGTATAGCATGCCCACTTTTAATTACTGATTCATAAAATTAAGTACCACCCTATATTATTTTCTCACTGAAAATCCATGTTCCATTTGGAAATTTACAAGTTAAATTAAGGTATTGACGTAAAAAAAGGGATTGGCGTACAATGACTTACCACTCCTAAAGCACTGTCTCCAAAAAGCCTCTCGTTTTCCTTTAAGCACACTGCGACTGGAGTTTTCCGCCGGGACTCCCTGCACAAAAAATAGAAGCTAAATGTCACAATGGAGTAAAATGCTGTCTGAAAAGAATATTTCTTTAATACAAGTCCAAATCAGGTGACATCTGTGGATTTTAGGTGTAAAATGTACACTCTGTTCTAAAACGTACTTGTTTAATACAATCTCCATTGGCACACCAGGTTTCACTAAAGCAATTTTCATCCATTCACTGCCCAAGTCCACAGACATCACAGCAATTGACTCTGCAACATAAAAATGTCAGTAAGAGCTGAAATTCTGTGCTCTAGATAAGAAAAACAAAAATGTAAAAATAATGCATGTTTACAATCTTGATCGATTTAAATTCATCCTGATGGACATCACCAAAGGAAATTGAGCAAATGTAACGCTTTATCATAATTCATGTGCTGCTTACCTGTTTGAGAAGGCAGGAATGCTACTATTAGGCAAAAAACTGCCCATAATGACAACCTTTCCCTCATTGTGACCTGCAGGAATGAAACAAAGCCTGGTTCAATAGCATGTAGGCTAAAAGTCACAATGCAACTGTGACAGGTCCATAAAACAGGAAGCATATCAAAACCATGCAAGATCCCTCAAATCATAATGTCATACACTATTACTAAAACTGACAGTACTACATCCTTTATATATATATATAGAAAAATCTCATTTGGCTTCATTTTTACAGTCACAGTTCTCCCTTGATAGACCATCTTCAATGCTAATTCAAAAATGCAAAGTGGAAACTTCTAGTTGCACAGTCTGTGTGACGCAAGCTTGAATGAGGCTGCCTGATCCTGATGGGAAGAGCATCATGACCATGTCAAACTGTCATTTCAGTTTGATGATGTGAAGTAAACATAACGCTTTCTTTTTAAAAGGCTCACATATAAGTAAATGCGGCTTTTGGTCTTGTAGATGTACTACTGTACTAGACTGATCAAGACACATTTATGAACATATGCAACCACTCAGATGAGCCCAAACATCTCCAACAAAAAAAGTAATGGAATGGCACTTACCTTTAGCGAGATCAAGTTTTATATTGGCTTTTGTTGACTGGTAAACCCCTCTTGACACTTGAACAACACTATTTAGAAACGCTTATCCTGTCCTAATTATGAAAGAGAGCTTTTCTGTGTTGATCCTTAATATCTAACGTCTTACAGAAGGCAGGAAGATTGCAGTAACCAGCAATGCTCTGTGACCACGCCGCCTCGCTTGCTTGGTTTTGCTCTTGCAATCACCGGTTTGTTCTAACACATTGGGCCCGGAACGCGGCGTGATCTCATTGGATCCACGCAACTCGCTGCTCGCCGAGTGAAGCGCTAATCGCTATGCTCGTAAGTCCCGCCTCTTTACCCTGAATGGAGAACGCTGATTGGTCCACGTGCCAACCAGCGCGCGCGAGTGGTCAGTCGTGTAACTAAACACGGATCTGATTGGTCCACGTAAAATAGGGGAACATAACGGCTGTGCGACAAGTTGTAGTTTTTGTTGTCAGCGACGAGAGCCCGACTCATTTTTGCGAATAGATTCGTTTGAACAGTTCTTTTCAAAGAACCGTTTCAGTGATTCTTTTACGTCATTCTTTGTATGTATTTCGTTATAAAACGGCCCAATTACGTTATACGGCATATTTCTGTTTATTACGTTTTTCAATTAGGGTTTAAAATAAAATGATATTTATTAAACCACTTTTCTTCATTTGTGCGTTTATGTTTTACGTGAAACATTTCTGCAATAAAAGTAACTGACTTTTCGCCTCACCACGAAGAAAGAGACGAGATAACCTGCATTAATTCAGTGCTTTGTTGACACATGAACCGGATACGTTCAGTCCCATTCGTGAACCGGTTCTAGAGAATCATTGAAAAGATCCGAATCAAAAGAACAGTTCGTTCACGAATCGGACATCGTTAATGAACTTTTGTTGTATTATGTCTTTTGGCCATATTAATAACTTTTGAAATTATACATTTAAATCAAATATGTATATTTTTCTTATAATTTTCTGTTTGGTGTGTATTTTGGTTTTAAACAGCATCAGTTATTTAATTTACAGTATATGTTTAAATAAATGTTATCAAGTTAATCTGTGGCTTGTTGTGTCCAACCTTAAATATATTATTGCGTATACAGATAAATAACAGAAAACAAGAATATACTGACACTAGTCACATGCCCGTGATGTGAGTCACATGATTTGGCTAAACAAGAACTGCTTGGAAAATGGCAGCGTTCTTACAGTGGAGACGATTTGTGTTTTTCGATAAAGAAACGGTGAAAGATCCGAGTGAAAATGGGAAAAATTTCCAACTACCGGTGGGAATAGCGGCCTGTGATTCAGGTCGAGGACACATTGTGCTTGGAGATATCCTTAAAATGCTGAAGTCATGCTTGAGGCTAGTTAGCAATGATGACACTGATAAACAATTATACTACGTATATTTTATAATTATAGTTGTATAAGTTATAAATCGTAGCATATTTTAATAGGTTGCAGCAAGCCTGCTTTGTCAAATTGATTATTGCATGTTTTCTTTTATATTTTTCATAATTCCAACATTCAGTCCTTTCTGGCTGATTATATATATATATATATATATATATATATATATATATATATATGATGATTTCAGTTATGCCACATGATCATGTTTTCTTTAACTCGTATAATGCACATATGGATGGGCAGATTTGGTTTTTGACCCGCTCCCTGCAGCTATCCAGCTTTCAGGCTTATAAGCTGCGCGTGACACACCTGTACCAGCTGAAACAACACAACATCCTGGTGTCTGTGGGTCAGGACGAGCCTGGCATCAATCCTCTGGTAAGAATCACGACAGGTGTCTGCTGAAGCTACATGTCAGGGCAAGAAATTAAGCTTTAGAAATGTAAGTTGATTTCTAGAGTTTATGTGTTTGCCCATCAGGTGAAGGTGTGGAACCTTGATAAGAAGGACAGCGGCAGTCCTCTGTGTACCCGGATATTCCCTGCCATACCTGGAAACAAACCCACTGAAGTGTCTTGTCTCAGTGTACATGAAACCCTTAATTTCATGGCTATAGGTAGGTTTTATTTTTAATTCACAAATCAGGGATATTATAGTTAATTAAAACTAAAACCATTTAAAAACGTGTTAGTTACTTGAAATAAAAGGGGAAGAAAATAAAAGTAAAATAATATCATATTATATATATAATACTATAAATTTAAAAATATATATTTTTTTCATTTAGTCCAACCATATTTAAAAACACAGAAACTAATAAAAAAGTAAAAAACAAAACACATAACAAAATTACCAAATGAACTAAAATTTAAATGAAAAACGAAAAAAAAAAAATATATATAAAAAAAGTAATTCAAAACATTAATATTTTAATTATACTAAACTAAGTCACAGCATGTCTCTTTAAAAGAGAGCAAAATTGGCACAGAAAATCAAAATCTGAGGTCTTCCCCAAAATGAGAAATCTTATATAATATTGTATACTGTAATTATTCAGATCGAGAATTTATTTTAATTAATTGAATTGATTCGAGTATTAGCTAGTATTTTTATATGGTTTGAAAAACGTTTTCATAAAGGTCATAATTCCCATATACTTAAATGTTAGAGGGCAGCTAATAATACAAAAATTGCACTTTAATGTTGCAAAAGTAAACAAATGCTATCAAAGTTATATTTATTTGATTTTGATTTTCTAAAAATATATAAACGTAACTTGAAATCACTTCTTATTTGTGAATAATTTCAGTGACACTAAATGGCATTTGCAACCCATTTGTTTCTGTAATTTGATGCATTTCAAAGTGAAACAAAAAATTTAGTTGAGAAAAAAATATTTTTTTTTATCCATCAATAATTAATTTTATGTTGACTCTAATATCTGTGTTGAATGCTCAGGTTTTACAGATGGCAGTGTTGTGCTGACGAAGGGTGACATCACCAGAGACAGACACAGTAAAACACTCAGCCTCCATGAGGGCAGCTGTCCAATCACAGGCCTGGCTTTCCGACAGGCTGGCAAAGTCACACACCTGTTTGTCGCCACTCTAGAAAAAGTGCAGGTACATGTTAGTTACATGGAATGTGATTTTTTTTTGTCTTTGTAATGAAACTGTGTGAATACAGATGAAAATGATAACAAACTGAAAGCAGGATTATTCATATGTTGACAGTGTTACACATTATCAGTGAAAGAGTACCCTCGTATAGAACTGGACACGCACGGCTGCGCCCTCCGCTGCTCGGCGCTCACAGACCCCTCGCAGGACTCGCAGTTCATAGTGGCTGGAGATGACTGTGTGTATTTGTACCAGCCTGATGAGAGAGGGCCCTGTTTTGCTTTCGATGGGCACAAGCTTCTTACTCACTGGCACAGAGGCTACCTGCTGCAGCTCACACACAATAACAAGTCACCCAGCAAGTAAGCCTCGTTGTATTGCATGGATTATCGGTCCTTTTCTCGCTTTAACTTTTTTTAATATGCATTCACATTTTTGACATTTCATTTGTACAGATCTGATTATGGTAGCAGACAGACATCCCCTTCAGAAAAACACATCTTGAACATTTATGACCTGGACAACAAGTTTATCGCTTACAGTGCGGCGTTTGATGATGTCATTGACGTTCTGGCAGAATGGGGCTCTTTTTATGTCCTAACGAGAGACAGAACACTGTATATGCTGCAAGAAAAAGACACACAGACCAAGCTAGAGGTTAGAACAGTGTTATTATCATTAAAAGAACGTTTTGTTTTTTTTACTTAAAATATAAAGTAATATACATTACCGATCAATAATGTGTTATTTAGATGCTGTTTAAGAAGAACCTGTTTGTGATGGCCATTAACTTGGCTAAAAGTCAACATCTGGACAATGATGGTCTGTCTGAGATATTCAGACAGTATGGAGACCATCTCTACGTCAAAGGGGATCATGATGGAGCTATCCAGCAGTATATTCGGTAAGTTTGCAGTTCAGATTGCTAGGTAAACATTTCATTTAAAATCAAGTCAGTCAAGTTAGTTACATCATGGTCTTCTTTCTCTCTTAGCACCATTGGGAAGCTTGAGCCCTCATACGTAATCCGTAAATTTTTGGATGCACAGAGGATACATAACTTGACAGCATACCTACAGGCCCTCCACAGGCAGTCGCTGGCCAACGCTGACCACACTACTCTACTGCTCAACTGTTACACCAAACTGAAGGACAGCTCCAAGCTGGAAGAGTTCATAAAGGTTTGTAGAAAAATTATTTTGGTCTGAATGTGCATTTAAGCTTTTTGAATGAGCCTTGACCATTGACGATGCTTTGTATACTCTGCTGCATCCCTCCTGTGAATATAGAGCAATGAAAGTGAGGTGCATTTCGATGTTGAAATTGCGATCAAGGTGTTACGTCAGGCTGGTTATCACAGTCATGCCGTTTTTCTGGCAGAGAGACACATGCACCATGAATGGTATCTAAAGATCCAGCTAGAGGATTTGAAGGTAAATACAGCTTTTTTTGTGCTATGATATAAACTGTTATGATACATGCTTTTCGATCAGTTTATGTAAGCCAATACTTTTTCATTTTGTCAACAAAAATTTTTCTCTGCCTTGCTCTTGCCAGAAAAATATATATTCAATTATTTATCCCTTTTTTTTTTTTTTTTAATATAAACCTTTTCAGAATTATCAGGAGGCTTTACGCTACATAGGACGGTTACCATTTGATCAGGCAGAGAGTAATATGAAGCGTTACGGTAAAATTCTAATGCACCATGTGCCTGAGAGTTCCACCATCCTCTTAAAACGCCTGTGCACTGACTATCACCCTAACAAAGACTCAGCCGACAGGGACAGTCTGGACAGGCCTGCGGAAAACAAGGTCATTCATTTGGATTAGCATTAACACCTTTAAATAATCTGACATTCAAGAACATTGTGAGTTAAGCCAAATTACTTGAGATTTTATCTCAAAATGTTCTTACTTTTTTACAGGCCAATCCAGAAGAGTTCATCCCAGTCTTTGCCAATAACCCACGAGAGCTGCGAGCGTTCCTGGAACACATGATCGAGGTGGATCCGTTCTCACCTGAGGGAGTTTATGACACACTGCTAGAGCTCAGACTGCAGGACTGGGCACATGAGCAGGACCCAGGGGTAAAACATGCAGTCATACCACACATGTCTCATTATGTTATATTATGTTATTATTGACAACATCTGAACCTGAAGAATTTGACTTGTTTATTTATTAGATATTTTTGCTAATTTGATTATGATTTTGGGCAATTAGTAAAAGTGTGGTAGTCCATAAAACTTATTTTACCATATTAAAGACAATCCTGCAGATTTTAAAATCTGAAAATGAAAATAAATATTTCATACTGAACATTATAATACATTGTGTATACTATAATGCACAGTATAATGTAGCATTTAACATAATTGATTTTAGATTTTTTTTAATAAAACTAAAATAATTAAATTAAAATAATTTTTAGTATTTAGACCATTTCAAATTTTTTTTTCATAACTTGAAAATAACTATTAGCTTATTGTCACTGGCCAGAATTTTAATATCAATGCGTCCCTAGAAAAAAGTATACATATTCCATAGCTATGCCATAGCTATAACATTGTAACTGCATTATAAAATACAATCTCAAGACCATTTTTAAAATGTTTTGGGTAAATTTGGATTGCTTATTGTAAAAGCATATACTGCAGGAAACCCATCACTCTTTCTGTCTTTTGTCTGACAGAAGAAGAAAGTCCTGCAGGAGGCAGCACTGTCCCTGCTGAGGAGCGACAACACTGTGTTTGACAAAGCCCTGGTGCTCTGCCAGATGCACAACTTCAAGGAAGGAGTGCTGTATCTGTATGAAAAGGGCAAACTGTAAGCACTATTTCTAATCACTGTTTCACTTACTCAGAAGGTGCTATAAAAGTTATCTACACAACTTCTACAAGTCTTCTACAGCCATACTATAGCTTTGTGTGACAACAGACCACAGTTACTGACTGAATTCTGTTCAGAATTGAATGCATCTACATCTGCATTACATTTAGCTTTTATCTATTAACAGCAGAAAAATAAGTGACAGAACAGCCTGTTTCTGCAGGTACCAGCAGATCATGCACTACCACATGCAGAATGAGGAGTACGGGAAAGTCGTGGAGGCCTGTAAACGCTATGGGGACAGTGAGGTGTGTTTGTGGGAACAGGCTCTGGGTTACTTTGCACGCAAAGAAGAGAACTGCAAGGCTTACATTAGTGAAGTTCTGCAGCACATTGATGAAAATAACTTGATGCCTCCACTTCTGGGTGAGTAAATGGATACGAGAAAGGTTTGTGGTCAACACCTCTGTTGTGTTTTTCACGCATAACTGCGTGAACTTTTCACACAATTCATTATTTTTCAGCCATGATGTAGAATGTGAACCAACTCTTCACCTTCCAGGGAACTTTATATCAAATAATTGTAGTGTTGTCCATACCGTCAGCATAATTTTGACCTTATATGAATGTCTGTGTTGCAGTGGTGCAGACTTTGGCTCATAATTCCACAGCATCGCTGTCAGTCATAAAAGACTACCTGATAAATAAACTAGAGCGGGAGACCCAGCAGATTGAGGAAGATGAAAGGAAGATTCGACAGTATAGAGAGGAGACGGCCCATCTTCGCGCTGAGATACAGGAACTTAAAACGTGGTGAGCGAATCAAGGATTCATTCAAAAATGGATGCTACAATTGATAGTATAGGAATGCCATTGTATATTTAAAAAAAATACATTGCTCTTTCAGTGCAAAGATCTTCCAGAAGACCAAGTGCAGCATGTGCAACAGCCCGCTAGAGCTGCCATCTGTGCACTTCCTGTGTGGCCACTCTTTCCATCAGCATATTTGGGTTTAGCAGTAAACTTTTAGGATTTAGGACTTTTCTTCAGCCATTCAATCTGCCTGTCGGGTATTAAATAGACAGGCGTCATTTAAACTGAACATTTTGTATACCTTTTTGAGGACTGGAAAAATAATGTTGCATTTGTTTTATCATTGTATTTACTCAAGATTATTTTAGAAGGATTTAGAAACTTTTATTAACAGGAAATGGGTGTATAATAGAAATGTTGTATAATGTATAATGATTGCTTTTTTATTTGTATAAAGTAAAGAACAGTACATCATGCAATTTATTATATTAGGAAATAATACAATATAAATAAAAAGGGGCATTTTTGCAAATCAAATTTTTAAAAGCACTAAAAGTAATGTAACTTTTTTTCTGGTAGCTAAAGTTGCTAATGACGTTACTATGTAATACCTCTTCTCTTGCCAATGAATAAAATATGAATTCAACAAACTGACGTTCTCGCGCACTTCCGCTGAAGATCTCGCGAGATCAAGTTTCCTTGGCAACAGTACACCGTGTTTTCATGGAGAGGTCAGAGCGACAAAAGGTTTGTTATAATTATCGCGCAAATGTCAATAATTTAATCTTGCGTACCATGTTAATTACGTAAACATTTATATGAGACACTAACGTGGTGTATTTTATGCCTCGCTATTCAATGTAACGAGCGCATCAAACACTAAGCTACAGTAAAACATTGTTATTCCTTGATGCTTATGTGTCACATTGGGTCTAAAAAACCTTTAGGTGCCTCCTAAAACAGATTGTGGTAGGTTATAAAAGTCCCGTAAAGCAAAACTAAACCAGCTGGAAAAGACTTACTTCATGGGCTGTGTCTCTAAACCAAGTATGCTGCCTACCTAGACAGCATTTTAGGGCATCATAGACATGTTCTGAGTCAGCAGCATTTTGGTATCACTATGACTCCTAAAAATACAATCTAGGCAGGCATCTCCCTAGGTTTTGAAACCCAGTTTTAGTAAAAACTAAAAAGTGCAAATAATATCTGCAAACAGATTCAACTCGCAACCAACCAGCCATACGACGAGAGTTTTGAGGTGAATGCAGAGGAGGCAGCCAGTGTGCACACACCATCCCCAAGACAGATAGGTCAGACTGTTTACCACTTCTTTATATTTTACCTAGCATCCATCAACTGTTTTTCATGCCATTGTGTTTTTATTTCAGTTTCTAGGAGGACAGGCAGGCAGAAGCAGAGTGCCATGGCCACTTATGCTGGCAATAAACTAGAAGAGGATACTAAAGTAAGTTTACTAACTCATATTT